GATCAAGGAAAACAGAAACAAATGCAACAGGAACTCTTCAGTGTTCTAAAGAATCGTCAGAAGTAATTTTATGAAGTTAGGCATTGCTCTTATTATACTTGACAATCAAATAGGTTAAAGGAGATTTCTAGAATCCCCAGAACTTTTGTATAATTTTATGGTATTTTTCAGAGATTGAAACCATACTCATTGAAAGCCATTCCAAAACGAACATTTTTGCCCACTTGGTGGGGATATGTACTGTTTTAATGGCTGGTAAAAGGTTTTTCTAGAAGCCATGATCTTGAGAGCTTTTGATCCTTTCAGATCTCCAAGGTTTTGGCTTTGTTGTCAAATGAATGCTATTTGATTCAGTGTAGAAAAAAGCATTTATAATGTTGTTGCTTGGCCTTGATTTGTTCATATACTAGTCAAGAAAAATTTCAGTGGATTGTTTTACAGTGCCAGTAGAATGCTTTAGTTTTGCACTGACAGGCTGTGAGGTGTTTAAATAAAAGCTGTTTGATGCAGAAAGACATTTGCATGATGAGGTCATTTGACTGCTATTACATTATGTTTTCTTGTGCAAATTAGAAACTTTCAACACTTTTGTCACTTGTTGATCATTTCCTTTTTCTCGTGACATTTATGTTTGATTGAGCATTAGCAATGTAAAGAGAAGTGAAATGTTGAATTCTCTTAGTGATTACAGGGTTAGTGTGAATGAAAAAGGAAACCAAAAATGTATTCTGATAGTTGCAGTCAAATGATGTTATTATGAACAATTGCCCACAAAACTGAGTAAAATTAAAAAAAAATGTCTTAAAACAGTGAGGTTACAAAACGTTTTTTAACACCAGGCTCATTATCAAGGTGTTAAATGCAGAGTTCATTTTTTTTCTTCAGCTTAAAGTTCCTTGCTTGGTGTAGTTTGATAGTCAATTATTTCATTGACCTTACTATGCAGTTTATTCGTGCTCGCAACAACGCAAATCTATTTGTAATTTTAATAAAATATAATAATTACTTCTACAGCAAAGTGTATCTAGTTCTTAAGATCATTATCTCTTGCTGTTATTTCTATTGTAACTCAAGGTCAATCAAAACAAATAAAAAGTTCTTACAAAATGTACCTTTTATGAGTGGTAATCATATTTTAAACGAAGGTGAAAGCAAAGGGGAACAGAAGGTAGAGCAAGTTCTGAAAGAGAGACTTGCACACAGGCTCATCCTTGGTGGCTGCGAATATGGACCTTTACCAGCAAGTAGTTCGCAGTTGTTCTTGAGTCAAAAGAATTCCTTAATAGAGGGAGTTTAAGAGTCAGGTTTACAGCAAATGGCAAACGTCAGATTCAAGTTGAGAATTTCTCAGTGAGAATAGAAAGTAAGCAGATAAAATCTGTTCAGAACAATTTTTATGGATAAAACTGGCATGAATTTCTAGTTATTTTTTAGTAGAAGTAATAAACAGTAAACAACAATTAAGGGGGAAATTTGGTCTCATGGTACAAATTCATGTTTGCCGTTTGGTAGAAACATGAATCTTAATCTCTCTAACATTAATGCATCTTTGAAGTGCTATGGCCTTAAAAAGGGTGTTTTGGAATATAATATTTTTTTCAATGAGCACCCCCATCACTTTTGTTGCAGAGTATCAGTCCCTAGTTTGAGTGACAGGCATTCACTAAAATGTTATCAGTGCCTTGGTTCACCAGGCAAAGGTAACTTGNATCATTATCTCTTGCTGTTATTTCTATTGTAACTCAAGGTCAATCAAAACAAATAAAAAGTTCTTACAAAATGTACCTTTTATGAGTGGTAATCATATTTTAAACGAAGGTGAAAGCAAAGGGGAACAGAAGGTAGAGCAAGTTCTGAAAGAGAGACTTGCACACAGGCTCATCCTTGGTGGCTGCGAATATGGACCTTTACCAGCAAGTAGTTCGCAGTTGTTCTTGAGTCAAAAGAATTCCTTAATAGAGGGAGTTTAAGAGTCAGGTTTACAGCAAATGGCAAACGTCAGATTCAAGTTGAGAATTTCTCAGTGAGAATAGAAAGTAAGCAGATAAAATCTGTTCAGAACAATTTTTATGGATAAAACTGGCATGAATTTCTAGTTATTTTTTAGTAGAAGTAATAAACAGTAAACAACAATTAAGGGGGAAATTTGGTCTCATGGTACAAATTCATGTTTGCCGTTTGGTAGAAACATGAATCTTAATCTCTCTAACATTAATGCATCTTTGAAGTGCTATGGCCTTAAAAAGGGTGTTTTGGAATATAATATTTTTTTCAATGAGCACCCCCATCACTTTTGTTGCAGAGTATCAGTCCCTAGTTTGAGTGACAGGCATTCACTAAAATGTTATCAGTGCCTTGGTTCACCAGGCAAAGGTAACTTGGTACAAATTCAATGAAAAAAATAATGTATAGATCTATCATAATATCCCATCTGGTGCAAAAACTGGGCAGGAATGTTGCTACTGATGCTATCAGACAGTGACCTCTTACACTTTGTTCTTCTTATTATTTTGATCTCAGCCTAGACTGTGAACCCAGACTTATTTCTGATCCTTACTTCTCTCTCAGTGACAACTGGGAATACCTCTGTTTGCAGGCCCATTGGATTGTGAAAATACCCCACAGTTAGTCACTTCATTCCTAATGACTGTCACTGCTGTAACTTGTTATTCCGTCTCCATAGAGTACTTTATTCACCTGACAAAGAGGTATATCATAGAGTGGGGGTACTGAGCCAGGCAGCACTGGTTTTGTGTCTTCACCTTCATACCGTGCATGTGTATCTACAAAGAAAAAAGATGAAGAACACAACACCTGAAGAATCAATAAATTCAGATTCACTTTTTTCCTACATTATGGCAAATATTACTGTCTACTTACTGTCCCGGGCTTACTGTCAGTAATATTTTTCATTAATATTATTGTTCTTTCAACTTCTCTACACATACATGACAATAGAAATACTGTTCATTTTTCAGCTGAACAGAGCTAGTTGCCAGATTAAAGGGGAAAGGGCTGATTCATCCTACAGACTTCGAGCAGGGCTGCAAAATTAAACAATATTTTTAGAAAGGATGAATGTCTGACCAGGTCACCATTTCAGATGGACAAACCCAAAAACGCTGTGTGGAATGCATTATGTTGACTATTACTAGGTGGTTCTTCGGACTCAAAATGCTGAACAGGGGTGGGGGTGGTTAGACTTTGGAATTGGGTATGGTTTTCGAAGGAAGTAGGGGAGTATATGAATGTGTTTATCAGATTTCAATTCTAAATGAATGAGAAAGAAATAGAAATAATTATGTGAATTCAAAATGCATTTGAAGTTCTAAATTTTTATTATGACATAATTTCTGCCTAAAGGCCAGGTCTGAAAACGGATATTGAATTGTATTGAAAAGTATTGAATTGAATGCTTTACAAACCTGTGATTGTATTGATTGAATCCACTGGTAGGGTGATAGTAAAATTGTAGGCCACATAAAATATCACCACAAAAACAAAAGCAACGCAAAGATAAATTGGTGCTGCTAACACCCAATACCTAGTGAATGAAAAAGTAAAGATAAACAAATAAGCCCCTATTTAGTTCTCTTAGCAGCATAGCAAGGCTAAAACCTTTTGGTACAAAAACTGCGCTCTATTAACAGTGGATCAGCCACCTTACTCTGGGGATGGGTAAACAGTGGGTCTCACAAAATTCTATTTGAATTTTTACAAATGATGCAGTAAAACTGTCATCATTTCTCATTTATCAGTTAGCAAACATGTTTTCTTCCTGGGCTAAGAACTAGCCCCCTAGTTGGGAATAGACAAAAATTCCAAAAAGAGCAATGAAGTGGAGAGGAAGCGGCCTTTTGCCTTTCTTTTTCCCTTCCTGTCCTCCTCTTTCTTTTACCAGCCCATCCATGACCCCTTACCCACCCCCTTATAATCAAGTGTTGATTGGCATGGTGGATTGGGGTGGGGGTACTCACCAAAAATACCTATGTGGGTATTGTGCAACTCAATGAGGGTCATGACTCTGGAACTTCCAATCTAGCATAGGGTATTGAAGGCAGAGGCAGCACATCCCCACTCATCCCCACCTGAGTAACTTCCCACCCCACCCCCCTCCTACTACTACCAAGAGCCCTACCCAGGATTTTGGTCAGATTGCAGTGTGTGTAAAGTACATGATTTTGCTTCCTCATACCTCTGTGGGAGATATGTTATTCCAATACTATGAAGCCATTCTTCAGGAACACATGCCCAGATTAAATAAAGACCTGACAACATAAAAGCAAAGAAAATACGTTGTGAGTTATACAAATCACCTGTCCCTGTCCCTGGCTTTCTTCTAGAGGGATATCGCGATAAATGGACAATATAATTTCCAGTGATCAAACCGTAGCCATTATTTTAATTAAGTTAAATAAAAAATGAACTGTGATTTTCAAAAATTTAAGACTGCTGGTGTTCATCGTCTTCTTATACATGAATTACATATTTCATTTTCTCTCTAAACTCTCACCAAATCCAAAGTAAGTCCCTAAGTACAGTACAAATCCATAAATTGCTCGTTCAGGTGAGGGAGAAGGAGAATTTTCTGCCATCGATTATAGACGTATGATACATTAGTAATATTTTCAACACGATCCATCATCTGTTAGAGGACATTTAGTGAAGGCGTACACGACCCTCATTGAATACCGCTGACAAAAACGTTGAAGCGAAAATCATAATGGAGGGAGAAAACTCTGAGGTTTTAACGCCAAACATGATCCCGGTCTCGCCTACAGAAAGCGAAGAGGGTACGTAGCCAAAACCCTAATAATTTTATTGATGTTATATTGAGAGTGATTTCCTATCCTATTGTAGAGCCTGGTGATGTCCAAATACGGAACGTTGAAGCCGATGCAGAGGTAAGCTTACGATTGTTTGAAAAAACTTTGTTGGTACAGTTGAGAAATGTTGGAAATTGCAAAAGCTGAATAAATTCCCCGAAAGAGGAGGATTTCCTAATATTCTGCAGCTACTGAATACCCGACCGAAAAACTGATCATTTACTTGAATTGTGCTTGACTACAAGGGACCTTGTACATACTCGGCCACAAGCTGAGTGTCAATGCCAGGCCCCCTGTCACACGTTTGCGCACGTTTTCTGTTAGTTCTAGAAGGCAAATCCATTGCTTTGGAGGCATACCCATAACTCATTGCTATTCCAAAACTGAAAATGCTTGGGCCTTTATATAACCAGACAGTTAATCTGAAGACAGACTCCAGGTCACTTCAACACTCTGTATTACAGTATACTAAAATTGTAATATAATCCTTCTACTTTAAAGCACAACAAGGCTAAAAAAAGATATGAACTGCCACTGAAATTATGCAAACAGGATATTTCTACAAAAACACATATTCAGATCAATCGATCGATCTTTGCTCCCATTGGATGCATGCCATGAATTATTTTGCATCTTTGGGAATTTTTATACATCAAGGATGTAGGATACAGAGGTAACAAAATAACTGGGGGAGGCTCCGCCCTAAAGGGGCACTTTTCCCAGGCTTCAGGTATATAAAAGGGTGGGGATTTCACCAGTTGACATGTATGAAAGGGTAGGAAAATATGTCATTTTAGTTGGTATAAAAACCCAAAAGGGCTGACAGATGCATTTTATGCCTGTGAAGAAGTGGAAAAAATGTTCTGGTTTTGTGGTTTATTCATATCTTAAAAACAGTGCATTTAAAGCTGTTTAAATGTATACAAAGTTCAAAACTAGGTATGTGAAAGAGGTACCATTTGGCAAAAGAAGTTATTCGCAAGGGGCACCGGTACCTTTTCCAGCTAAAATGGTGTATAAGAGGGTAAGGGATTAGACCTCTGGGTGGAGCCTCCCCATATAAAACTTTGTTCGTGGGGAGTGAACACAGCACCATTTTCATTTCTGTGCAAGTAGCCAAACACTAGGGCTCTGGCTCTAATTGTGAAGAATCCTTAAGTGCTATTAAAAAAGTATACTTGTTCCTGAGCAACTGCAATTTCTCTTAATGTTTTTTATTTAGGAAGTTGACCTTACCCATGCAAAGATCCAGAAGCTAGACAACTTAGAACGATTGACTTGCGTCAAGGTATGTTATTATTTATTGTTTTTTAAAGTTTAATAAAGAAATTTGTATTTAACAAACATTGCATTTAATATTGGATTGATTGCATGGCTTTATTTTCCTGTTGCCTTTTTGGTTTTTATATAGCCATTTCTGTTTTAATCTTTAGTCCCTTTGCCTTCGGAGAAATAACATCTCCAAACTGGAAGGACTGAGCACATTAACAACATTGGAAGAGCTAGACCTGTATGATAATCAGATCAACGTGATAGAGGGCCTAGAGAATTTGACCAATCTCACGTAAGAAAATTTTTGAAGAAAAAAGCAATATAATTTAAACAATGTTATTAGGCTTAAAGTAATCCAATCAAATCTCTCTACAATGGCCATCAGTGCGTGTGGACAGTCTCAGGGATGTAGCTAAGGAAAAGCTACATATATAAGCTAACTTTTTTATTAGTCAAGCTGGCTGTTTTACTCAACTCCACTTTGAAAATTCCCTGATATCATTCTTTTCCAGAGCAATCCGGGCAGTGGTAAGCTCTTTTTCAGCGGGTAAAATTAGCCAGCTGCCGGCTCTTAGCATCATCCCTGCAGACTGAAGCAAGAATTGTTTGTTAGTAGCTGAGGATCAACTGAACTCCCATGGAACAGCTCCTATTTCCTGGGTTCTTTTCAGTCAAATGCCAATTGCTCATAAATCATTTTAATGTGGTGGACTAGAATTGAAGGAAATGAGAGTGCAAAGTAAATGACTCTTCAGTTGTCAGATGAATAAAATATTGGTCTTACCAAATCATGCAGAACAGTTTCACCTCATGAAACTTTATTTCATTCTTGATGTTTCCCTTGAGCTTTATCAGTTACCTGTTTTAGACAAGGTAGCAAAGAAGGCTTTTAGACCATTTCCAGTCATTATATTTAACCCTGTAAGTCCCATTATATCCACATACAAATTCTCCAAACTGATCTTTATATATTTCCTTAAAGAATGAGTTGAGAGAATTTGATAAAAGATCAAAGCAAAGCAGTAGGTGTTCATTTTATTAATTCTCATAACCAAATCTCTTGAAAATGTATGGATATCATTTAAGAGAAAATTGATCTTGGTCACTATAGGGACTTCAAGGGTTAATATCAAAATCTTACAAAGGATATGAATTTATATTGTTTTAGGAGTTTGGACTTGTCATTCAATCTAATCAAAGTAATAGAAAACTTGGGATGCTTGACAAAACTCAAAAAGCTTTACCTTGTTCAAAACAAGGTCTCCAAGATAGAGGGGGTTCAGAATCTTTCACAGCTTGAGATGTTGGAACTTGGTGCAAACAAAATTAGGGTGAGTACAAAGTTAGTTGTGATTCAGTAAACGGCTTGGAGGTAGCTGTAAAAACCTTTCAAGAAGAGTACAAAACATCGGCTGGAGATACCATGCCAAACTTGAGAGGATGGGTGACTAACAACTCTCTCTTTGAGACTCAAGCAAAAACATCTCCAGTTTGCTGGTCATTTCTATCACGCAGATAAAGAAATATTTTCATCTCTCATTCTCTGGTGCCCAGTGGGTAGAGTGCAGTCACGTAAGCTAACATGTATGCCCTGGCCAAAGTGATTGCCTGGGATTCGGGACTTGATACCAGGAACCTGAGCACTGCAATAGCAAATTGTGGTGTTTGGGAAGAAATCTCCATCAATGTCCTGTCCACTTCAGCGGTTGAAGGATGATGATGATGATGACTATACTTTGTAACTCATCTATTAATATGCTCATTTTGTGTCAGTTTTCCCATGCAATTAACGACCAAACTCCCCAGACACGGTTCTATCTAGGATTTATAGTTTGGGGGAGAAGCCGCAAGTGGCTGAAGGTGACAAGCTTCCTAGGGGGTCCGGGGGCTTGCCCCCCCCCCCCTAAAACTTTTTTGAAATGAATATGCTCTGAGATGCAATCTGCTGCATTTTGAGACACAATTGTGAGAAATGTTACTGTGTGTCCATTGACCTCATCACGAACCTAAACAGCAGCTTGTGACAAAGTCTATTGAAACTTGAATGTAATCAAAATTTTTATGTATCATGTTTGTCTTTTTAAGGTTCTGGAAGGATTTGAAGGTCTAACACAACTACACAGTTTATTTGTGGGGAAAAACAAAATCACAAAACTTGATGTAAGTGTTTACTAGTTGAAAGTAAGTATGAATCAAAGCTCTTTCTTGAATGTTTTAAAAACACTTTATTTGGGTTTTAATTTAGTAAGTATTTCTCTTGACTTTTTTTGTTGCTAGAATCTCAGTTGTCTTACCAATCTGAAGTTACTCAGTATTCAGGTGAGTCGCTTCAGTTTTTGTCATTGTCTAACAAACAATATATATTTACATGTACCTAATGTGAATCTCAATTTGTTTATACAGTCAAACCTCTCCACAATGGTCACCTTGGGGACAGAATAAAGTTGCCGTTGTGGAGAGGTGACCATTATGGGGAGGTAGGGGTGTAATATGGCAATTTTTTGGAGGAGTACAACATGTTTATTTTGCCAAGTTCATGCCTACTGTATCCCATAATGATAATCCAATCAAAATAATGATATACAAAACTAAAATGCACAAAAAACTTACTAATTTTTTTAATCAAAAAGTTAACCCGAACAAACGCGAGCAAGGCTTTCAACATTCGCTATAAGTATTGTAGACAATCTAGTATGCTTACTGCAGGAGTATTAAATGGAACAAAATTAAAACGATTGACGTGATTATCAACACACCATACGGATCAAATTTCATATCCATTCCTGACTTCATTTGTTAGTCGCTGAAAAACTGGCTGTTTTCGAGAGGTGATTTTGGCAGTTGGGGATGCGCTCTAGTGGCGCTTGCCATTGTAGAGAGGGTTAAACTAGAGTCAATGTATGGACTGTGAGAGGTGGCTATTGTGGAGAGGTGACCGCCGTTTGTGGAGGTTGACTATATTCAAATTCCTCCTTTGAGAAAATGGTTGCACTCACTGTAAGGAAGCCCTCAAAGTCTATATTACGTGTCAAGCGTTTTTTTTTTCTTTTTCAAATCAAACGGATTGTTTTGCAGAAATGTGGAAAGCAGTGACTCACATTAGTAGCTAATAAAGTTAGTGACTAGTTTTATTTTCATTCCAGAGCAATCGCATTGTCAAGCTGGAAGGTTTAGATGGTTTAGTTAATCTAGAAGAACTCTACATTAGCGACAATGGCATTGAAGAAATCGAAGGTCTTGACAACTTGGTAAGTAAAGGCTTTTTTAAGGAGAGCGAAAACGGTCATCAGAAAACAAAGCGGTCAAGATTTTGAAATTATTGCAGGAAAAGGTTTCCTGAAGATTTCTTTATCAAGAGAAAATAATCCCCCAGAATTGGCTATTAGAGTGCGCCTACCCAAACGCTCGAACTTTCGACCCTACACATCAGCGTAGATAACAGTTTCGGATGAGACGAAAAAGCCACCTAAAATTTTTTGGCGACCAAAGTTCCCCTAAGCATCTGAAACGACAAAAAGTTTTTAGGACAGCTCCAAATTAACCAAACAGGCTTCTAAAGCACAGAGAAAACCATGTAACACACCTCTGATGTAGTCTCTGACGTATGGGTGCCGCTGTTTCATCCCCTGCCGTCTGGTCCACTCTTACGTTGATCTTCATCATAACGTTAGCTTTGTACAAAAGTTGATAAACTTTGTACATGTACCGGGTAATTGGCACCAGTATTTTGTCTGGAATATTCAAACGCCCGGTAGAATTCCTGGAGAAGCCTGAAGTGGGGAGTTGCGGTACTTGCCAGAGTTATTTTTGACACGGTTACCCCTCCCACCCCTCTCTAGAGAGCTCCTTCAGTGCCAAACTGGAGAGGTGAAAGAGTTCAGGGTTCATTGTTACAGAAAAGTCCTTTGAAGGATTAGTTTCTTGTCTTTTGTGGCACATTTGATCTTGACGCTACAGAGCATTGCTGCATTATTTTCTACTCTGTGTACACAGGTCAACCTCAAAACACTGGATTTAGCATCTAATAGGATAAAAAGAATCAGGAATGTCTCTCAGCTTGTTAACTTAGAAGAATTTTGGGTGAGTACGATTTGTTGTATGAAATAATAACATACAGAAGAGCTTAACTATTTTACAGTGTTGTATTTATTCATAATGCGAGGAAAGTGTTGTGTAGAACTGAAGCTTGTGTTTTTATTGCGATGGACTAGCATCCCGTCCAGGGGGGAGTAGAAGTACTCCTAGGCATGCTTCATGCTACAGAAACCGGTAAAAGCTCCGGTCGTGTGGGCCTTTGGCTGTGTGCGCCTTTACCTACTTGCGTTTATTTATCTCTTCAGTTCAACGATAATCAACTCGATTCCTGGGAAGATTTGGACCAGTTTAAGACCAGCACCAAGCTACAAACAGTCTATCTGGAGAGGAATCCAATATGGAAAGACACGGCTTACAGACGGAAAGTTAAACTTTATCTGCCAAATGTTACACAGATAGATGCCACATTATGCGGCTAAAAAATCTCTAGCCCCATTAATTATGACGGGCCATCCTGGATCTCACGTAAGTCGCGACGAGGGTTACCGGGCGTTTTGATACAAAGTCGTTTCGATACAAGTTTATTCAGTCGAGGTGTAAATAGTTTCACGAACTGGGCTTAACGAAAGAAGAATATTCCATCCCAAATGTTTCTTTTTTTGTTCACGCGCAAACTATACTTGAAGTGGTCAAAATTTGTTTGCGATTTCACTGCTTGAGTTCGTATCGAAAAGACGTGCGGAAAGACAGCAAATGCGAAATGAAGAACCCTTCCGTTTTGGAAACCTCTCCCTCGTCGAGACTTACTGAAAACGTGGAAATAAGTACTTATGGTGATACATATTTGAGCATTCTCAGTCAGAGAGGAAAATGTATTATAAACGGATTTTTTTATTTCTGTACTGAATGTCGTTAAACTTTGTTAGTAACAGAGCGTCGACCAACACTGGGTTCTTTTGTAACCTGTCTTTAAAATTGCATATAGAGACTAGCGTAAAACTTTTATGTTGGAAGTTGCTTGTGGTTTTGTTTTTTTATGGTCCTTAGAGCGTGGAAAAAAGTCGATACTTCAAATCGATGTAAGCATGCAGCAAGGTTTTACCGTGAACTTACAGTAGCGTCTTTGTGAATTTGTTGATTGAAGTGGCTGTTGTTGGCAATAGTAATTACTGATAAGTTTTTCCAGGACTTGCACGCTCGATTCTTAGAACTCTGTTGTTCCTCAGTGTTGGGTCAGTCCTTTACTTCCATAAAAAGGAACCTAAGAACCGGACACGAAGCTATAGCTTGTGGAGGAGATCTATATCGTTATCATTATCATCATCATCGTCATCATCATTATCCGAATCATCACCATTATCATTATGATCATTATTATTATAAATATTATTGTTAATATTATTACTATCTTTATTACAGTTGAACCGCCATTTAGCGGCCACCCTCGGGGTACTGGCAAGTGGCCGCTCAATAGAGGTTGGTCATAAATTAGCATAATCTTTAGCAGAAACATCACTGTATTTTAAAACAAACAGGCGACAGGAGAAACGTTACTGGTCCACAATCGGTCATCACCTTATATCTCGGACTGTATTATTTTTCCTTCATCATATTCTTGAAATGAAGCCTAACCAAGAGTATCAAGCGCTTGATGGCCCCTTAATAGAGGTGACAACGGCAGTAGGAAAACTCTCGTTGGGAAGGCAAAAATTATTTCGGGACTTTGGTAACCGGCCACTTAATAGAGGGTGGCCGTTTAATAGGTTGCCGCTCCGTGGAGGTTCAGCTGTTTTATTGTTATTATTATTATTATTATTATTATTATTATTATTATTATTATTATTATTATTATTATTATTATTATCATTATTATTGTAAGAAAAACATAAAAATTGAAAAACTTTCGAAAAGAAATTCACGTTAAAAACATACTTTGTAACCTTCGTTTTTGTACAGAAAGAGAGTTTGAAATAAATGTTCTTCGTTTTCGAGTGAGGTTAGTACATTGTTTTGTCTTTTGCTTTGATCGGTTGATGTCTTTCTTTCTCATTGGGTTTCTCCTGAGAAGTCGCCGGAAAACGCTGGAAAACAGCCAGTTAACTTTATCACCGTCTTATTAACGCTTCTTTGTGGGAATCGAGCAGGTGTAAGCGCTTGGAATGTGCGCACGAAGAAAGGAGCGCGCGAGGGAGACACGCGTGGGGTAAGGAGCTCCCTCACCCCTCTGCGCCTGTCTAGGTCGCTCTCCCCGTTGTTTCTCGCATATTACGCGCAAATGTTCGGTGACAGCTTAAGCGATGCGGGTTGTTCAGGATTTCATCAAAATAGTGGAAATTAACCAAGAACCCACAGAATGAACACTGACCAAGGAAGGGGGTGGGTTTGACCTAATGAACATTACAAATTACCGTTCAGTTTGTTTTCATTTGAAAGGTCAGTTTAACGATTGATGTCTTCCTCGGGTTCAAAAGTTTTTAACCCCTTCAAGAAATACAGCAGACCAAGTTATGTCAACCTCGTCCCCAGGGCTTTTCCCTCAAAAAATGGGTGTTGCAAGTTATGTTTGGTGCTTGAGCAACATTAATAAAAGACTTCACACTAACTCGAAAATTGTAACTCATTAAATCAAGCGACTTTTAAAACTAGGTTATTGTAGTAGTGTGCTTCAAAACAATATGAGTTGATCGGTAATGTTCATTCCTCACTGCACCCTCTCAGCAGATTTAATTACAACTGAGGGCTTTTTTAATTGTAAACAATAGGCATTACAGGCGAAAAAGACATTTTCTCTCTTATCACTGTCAAGCAATTGTTTCCCACACAAAGGGAGTAAATTAAATTTTCATTCACTGCTGTGCCGCTTGATTAACAGAAATTTTTATTAAATTCTGATTAGGCGAGACAAGAAATTAATTTTGCTACAAAGATAACAAACATGAAAACAAACTATGCCCTGAAGTCAGCTCGTTTTTTTAGAAAGAGAAAATGCGACATGCTGGAACTTGTGCCTGGATAATAAAGGACAGTTAGTGTTTTCGGTACACGTCGATGTCTCCTTCACTGTTTACTGAATGCAAGTATGCCCTAGGCCTTTCTTTATCATTTTTTTTCTAAATTAAACAGCCCTTTGACATAACATATAATCTAAAGAGTATGATACATGTTTCAGTTAATGGATTGGCAGCAAGTTAAATGTCGAGCCATGTTGTAACTACGGCTGAGCGAGCAAAGTTCCCCCTTAATTTTGAAATGCTCTGTCGTTGCGCGAAGTTGCAGTTCGTTGATACGGCCTCAGTCATTTTCCCTTTGTTTGTCTGTTTTTTTTTTCAGCTTTCCGAGTAATATAAAAGACTGAGAATGTTAAATGGCCTTTTAGCTATTCAAATGACAAGATAAGCTTTGCACTGCCTATATGGAAATTGTTGACTAACAGTGACTTGACGTCTTCTGATCTGAAACATTGGCATAGTTGTCATTCTGTTCAAGAAATGATACAAGTGAAGTGGCAACATCGTTTGATCATAGCTTCGCTAAAAGGAAATGGCCGTACACCACATATCATAAATGTGAAAAAAATACATTTGCTGCCTCCCAGTATTCGGAGTTCAATTCACACAGAAGCAATCCAAATGTAAAGTGTATCTTTTCTCGTATGAACTGTTTTGTAACGAATCTGTGTATGGTGGGCTTCATCTCGACCACTTTTAATATTTTCTAACCCTTTCTCCGTCTCAAAAGCAGCACTTGTATGAGAACTACCTGAGTCTATCACCATATGCTTATTAAAGAAAGCTTCCAAGTCCATGGCCACTTTATCATACGGAAGATGCCTGCTCGATCGTCGAACTACTCTGTCCCGAACTTTTGATGTTTTCCGTCCCTCAGTCCTCTGGATGACAGGTGTTTCATGATATCGTTCACTCACTTGAATCTTCCTGTAGCTGTTAATCGCTTTAGGGATCACTTCTTGTTTGCCTGAGAGTTCTTGCTCCCTTCTAGCCTCGTATAGTTTTTCTTTCTCTGTGAAAGATTGCCTTACTGAAGGTGGATGTTCGTCGCTTAAACGCCTTTTCTTTGCGGCTTTTATCTCAGCAATGTTACTAAATATTTTTCCATACTCTTCTCGAAGCTCTTCTTCAAAAGAATTAATTGAAAGCATGGCAGTCACTGAGAAATATATAAAGACCACGCTATTCAGAACTTTGAAACCTTGCGGTTTTCCAGCGTAAACTTGGAACAATAGCTACTTTATTATGCAACAATTTTGACATAAAAAAGGATTATGTTAACAGACCATGAAATAAGACTCGGTATCACAGGCCGAAATTCAGTTAGGTGGGCAGAATTCACATAATATAGAGAACTTTTCAACCTCGTCCCCAGGGAAAAAAGGCCAGGGAAAAGCGCCCTGGGGACGAGGTTGAGAACTTTTTTTAAAATCGTCTAAGAAGTTGAAAGTGAAACTTAAAAACCAGAACTTCAAAAACAGTTTTATTACTGATTTATTAAAAAAAGGCCGCAAACGAATATACCGCAGAACGTAGGAAATGTAGGATCTAAAGAAGACCTGATCAGCAAAAACATACTCAGTATTAAAAATATGTGTTAAATGTATTGCCAGTTTATGACGCTACTGTTCTGCAGACGGAAGGTTTTTTCTTCAAGACCCCATCATTTCCAGTCCCCAGTTAGTATCACCCGGCCCTTGTTGGTGGTATTCTGTGTCTTTGTCAGGAGCCCATCAAATTTGATGGGTTCCTGTCTTTGTACAATAAGCTCATTTTGAGGATAAGCCGAGGTGAAGGGGAAATCGTCCGTCTTCCTCGTACCCCCGCCCCTCGTCCCACCCTACCCGAGAGCTCTCTTCGTATGGAAACCTGGGTACAAAAACAATATGGCGGCTGAGTTTCCAGAAAGGCGGCGTTGTGTGCAATAATACACTTCCTTCATAAACACATTGAGAGTTCGTCAGATCTTATCGCAAAATCTGTTTGCAGTCTATTTTTATGTTTAATGATGGATCTTCTGGGCTCAATTCTGAAGAGTATGGACGCACCTCCGACAACCGAGGTTGACAAAAAGGCAAAAGGTAAGCTTATTTTTATTCCATAGCCGATTAATGTTTTATTTAAGCTTATTGTCTAGGTCGTAACGAGATACTTTTGATTCCAAATCGTTGTAAAATACAATATAAGACTTAGTTAAGGTATATCAAGCGGACGTCCAAAAGTTGTATTAAAGTTATTTCGATCTAGGTAAACTGCAGAATACCCTGCCACTTCGAAGCTGTATCCCCGAAAGAGCTGGATACGTGGATACGCAGTTATCACTTTATGCGCTTTTCTACCCTCTGTGGCTTTAAGAACGACAAACAGACATACTGTATGCTTTTTATCCTGTCTTAAGTGTATATTGAAGTGGATACGCGTATATGCGGATACGTAGTGACCGAGTTTCCGCGTATCCACCTATTTTTAGGGGTTGCTTTAAAGTGGCAAGTTATTCTGCAGTTACGCCCAATATTATTATAGATTTCTCAACTAACTCACATCAGTCGACCTGATAGCAATGTTAACTATCGACTAAACGTATGCTTATTACACATTATTCAAGTAATGAGTATGTGAATTTTGTGGTTGATTAATTTGTGTCTTGTTCCGCATGTAGAGGAAAAAGCCAAACTCAAGAAACTCCAAATGNGGCGTTGTGTGCAATAATACACTTCCTTCATAAACACATTGAGAGTTCGTCAGATCTTATCGCAAAATCTGTTTGCAGTCTATTTTTATGTTTAATGATGGATCTTCTGGGCTCAATTCTGAAGAGTATGGACGCACCTCCGACAACCGAGGTTGACAAAAAGGCAAAAGGTAAGCTTATTTTTATTCCATAGCCGATTAATGTTTTATTTAAGCTTATTGTCTAGGTCGTAACGAGATACTTTTGATTCCAAATCGTTGTAAAATACAATATAAGACTTAGTTAAGGTATATCAAGCGGACGTCCAAAAGTTGTATTAAAGTTATTTCGATCTAGGTAAACTGCAGAATACCCTGCCACTTCGAAGCTGTATCCCCGAAAGAGCTGGATACGTGGATACGCAGTTATCACTTTATGCGCTTTTCTACCCTCTGTGGCTTTAAGAACGACAAACAGACATACTGTATGCTTTTTATCCTGTCTTAAGTGTATATTGAAGTGGATACGCGTATATGCGGATACGTAGTGACCGAGTTTCCGCGTATCCACCTATTTTTAGGGGTTGCTTTAAAGTGGCAAGTTATTCTGCAGTTAAGCCCAATAT